ATGCATTTGCCTCAAGGTCAAGGCTTCTACACCACCCCAAAGCCTTCCTTCCACCGACCCATCGATTGTCTAAGTTGGTGCGAAGACTTTAGTGCCTCGTCATTGTCCCCCACTTGGTGGTGCGGTCATTAACATTCCGCTATTTGGCTCCACCGGAATAGTGCCAGAGTACTAATCCCCATCACGAGGGCCCGGCTATGAGTTGTTTTGGTTTGAAATGTGAGGTATAAATAATGAAGGAGGTTGCCAAATATAGAATCAATAGTGCTATTCTGGGGGAAGGTGAGGTGGGTGTTACTGTACTGTGGGTGGTGGGTCCTCACTCCTCCTGCCAGCAGCACTTACCACCCTCCACTCCTCACACGACACACTTGCCCCCCTCACACGTCCATCCTCATCCCTCCCCCTTCCTCACACACACACACACAACCCCTCACGCCACACTCACCTCCCAACACACACACGCACACAGAAGAGTTCGGGGAGACATTACATACAAAATTCTCAGGGGGAATTGACAGGGGTAGATAAGGACATTGACACGGGTAGATAAGGATAAGGATTATTTAACACGGGTGGTACTCGCACAAGGGGACACAGGTGGAAACTGAATACCCAAATGAGCCACAGAGACTTTTGTGAAGCCACGTAAGACAAACTGAAAGAAGTTTTTTCAGTGTCAGAGTAGTTAACAGATAGAATGCATTGGGCAGTGATGTGGTGGAGGCTGACTCCATACACAGTTTCAAATATAGATATGATAGAGCCCAGTAACCTCATGAACCTGTTCACCAGTTGACAGTTCAGAGGCCTCAAAGAGCTTCAGCTCTTTGAGGTTCTTCTGAAACTGAAGCGAAAGCACAACTAGGCGAGTACGTACACACACACACACACACACACACACACACACACACACACACACACACACCAAAGGTGACAAATCCTTGCACCTGAACAACATCGCTTAACTGGTTCTCACCAGCCGGGAACAGCCCGCGGCAGGGAAGGGTGGAGGTCTAGACTGGCTAAGGTACTTGGACCGTTTGGTAGGGCGACTTTGGTGTGTAAAGGTTGCAGAGGTCTGTAGGAGTCGAGGGGGAACGCCAACCAGTATCTGTGTCACTAGTATAGTGTTACTGGTGTGAGGAGTAAGTAATTATCAATAGAAGGCATCAAACCGGGAGGGCTATGTAGCACCATCTACTGAAACATTTCACACGCATGCTTACGTACGTGCGCTCACAAACATTCCATAAGGTCTCGCTCGAGAGACTCCGACCCAGACTAGCGAAGCAAGCTGATGTATTTGGAAGAGTCCTGAGGTGGGTCAGAGAGTATCTCTCAGGAAGAAGCAAAGGGTTACAGTGAGAGCAGAGACGTCAGAGTGGAGAGAGGTTACGAGTGGAGTACCACAAGGGTCGGTTCTAGGGACTATCCTGTTTCTAATAATCTGTCAATGACCTGAGAGGAAATTGGCTCCTTCATATCAATGTTTGCAGATGATGCAAAACTAGTGAGAAGAGACAGGACAGAGATTGTGATGAAATACAAACGGATTTGTAAATAAGTCTGACAAAAGGGCTCCTAGAGTTCAACTCAGCCAAATGCAAAGTTATGAGGATTGGAACAGGAGTGCGAAGGCCAGTGCAGCAGTATAGGATGAAGGGAAGGCAAATTCTTCAATCAGAAAAGGGAGAAAGACCTGAGAGAGGACATTACCCCAAATCTGATGCCAGAAGCTCACATCAACAGTTATGCTTATGTAATGTTCTTATGTAATCCTCACATGAAAAAGGACAAGCAAAGCTAGAAAAGGTCCAAAACTATGCGACGAGGCTCGTTCCTGAGCAGAAGGGATTGAGCTACTAGGAAACATTGAGAAAACTAAACCTTACCAAGCTGGAGGAAAGGCGAGATAGAGGGGTCATGATAACAACGTACAAGATTCTAAGGGAAATTGCCAAAGAGGACAAAACAGCATTGTTCAATGCCAGGAACAGATAAACGAGGGGGCCATCGATGAAAAATATACACAAATGAGTCACAAGAGACGTCAGAAATTACTTTTTTTTTCAGTTACAGCTGTCAATGAACAGAATAAGTGAAAACGTAGAAGTTGTTGAAGCTAATTCGAATATCTTGGTTATCTTGAGGTTATCTTGAGATGATTTCGGGGCTATTTTTTTAGTGTCCCCGCGGCCCGGTCGTCGACCAGGCCTCCACCCCCCAGGAAGCAGCCCGTGACAGCTGACTAACACCCAGGTACCTATTTTACTGCTAGGTAACAGGGGGGGGGGGGCATAGGGTGAAAGAAACTCTCCATTGTTTCTCGCCGGCGCCTGGGATCGAACCCAGAACCACAGGATCACAATTTTCAGGAATTTTCACAATCACAGGAATACAATTTTAAATATGACAAAAGCGTGAGAAATCAGTCATTGTATTAATCTAAGAACGTCATAAGGCGTGACTTGAAGCCTAGCTCGACCCTGCAAGTACATCTAGGTGAGTGCGCGCGCACGCACACACAACGGGATGGTGGTGGCTGAGTGGACAGCGTTCTAGGCTCCTGGACGTGGGGACCGGGGTTCAATTCCCGGCACTACCGGAAAAATAAATGGGCAGAATTTCCTTCACCCTCATGCTCCTGTTACCTAGCAGTAAATAGGTACGTGGGAGTTAGACAGCTGCTACGGGCTGCTTCCTGGGTGTGTGTGTATAGGGGGGGGGGGAATAGTAGTTAGTAACAGTTGATTGATTGACAGTTGAAAGGCGGCCCGAAAGAGCAGAGCTCAACCCCTGCAAGCACAACTAGATGAACACACACACACACACACACACACACACACACACACACACACACACACACACACACACACACACACACACACACCAACCATGCAGACGGAGTTGTTTGCTGCATGTGGAGGTTGTTGTTGTTGCTGCAGATTTAGCTACTCAGAACAAAGCGTCCATGTAGCACGGGCTAAGGTGAGCCCGTAGCATGCGCAGGAATAATAGGAGCTTATATACAAGAAACAGTCCACGTTCCAGTACTTATTAGAAGAGCGCGCGCGCGCGACGAACGCCCCAGCCCCCGCCCCCCCTCTGGATGCCCCTAGCTGTAAACATCAACATGAACCTACCTTATGAACAAATCCACAAGGGCCGTGACGAGGGTTCGAACCTGCGTCCCAGAGCATCCCAAACGCTGCCTTAATCGACTGCGTCGGCCCTTGTGAATTTGTTCATTTGATGTACCAGGCTATTGTGACGTCTGTGTGTAACCTAAGCTATCGCGCCCGACACATTACCATCTAACAACGCGCTTATACAAATCTATATCTATCTATATCTATATATATATCTCACAAGTCAAGCTTGGCCTCGGGCCGGGCTTGGGGAGTAGAAGAACTCCCAGAACCCCATCAACCAGGTATCACTTAGAACCAAACTATATAACTTAAGTTCGATAGTTTGTGCAACTTTCTGAATATGTGGACCTTGCCAGCGGGATCACATGAGCCAGCCAGGATGTACATAAACTTGTACGTGTACAATTACGAAACCTATACATCTAAGTTCGATCATGGCGACTTAAGTTTGTACTTATTAAACAGTTTACGAGGTCCGAATGGCTCTGCCAGGTCGTTTATAATCCGAGGTTACTGTTAAGGACAACTTCGTAGTGCATTAATTTGTTTTAATATTATAAAAACTAAGCCGCCAAGATTGGTGTAAGATGGATAGCTTTCGTAAGTGGACACGTAAATGGTTAATGAATTGGGGCTCAGGAGTCTTAGTGCTCGGTGATAGTTCGTGTCACTTCACATGCCTCAGCCTGCCTCAGTATAATTCTGTGGCGCGGGTTCGATTCCCGCACGAGGCAGAAACAAATGGGCAAAGTTTCTTTCACCCTGAATGCCCCTGTTACCTAGCAGTAAATAGGTACCTGGGAGTTAGTCAGCTGTCACGGGCTGCTTCCTGGGGGTGGAGGCCTGGTCGAGGACCGGGCCGCGGGGACACTAAAGCCCCGAAATCATCTCAAGATAGCCTATCCTCCCAGCCTATCCTCCGATAATGACTGTACTTATAACTACTGTTTGCCCAAACGTACAAAAATGGACTGTGGGACTTTAAAAGTTCATGTTTTGTACTGTCAATTACCCCAAATGGCATTCTATGAAAATGGTGCAGTAATTAAGGAACCTCAGCAAACCTGAGCAAGGCCTAACCAAGCAATTCTATACGGCCTAATTCTGTAGGCCTAATTCAAGCTTAATATACGCTATATTAGGCCTAATTTAGTATATATGCTATACTAGGTCTAGGAATATTACACAAAAATAATAGTTTTCTCAACAAAACTAATAGTACATAATATGAACTATGGGGGACCGCAATATTCCTTTTCGGAACGTTCAACCAAATAGTTTTATAAGTACCATCCTTCTAGGAGGTACTTATGTAGTACTTCCTAGGTACTCCTAGGAGGTACTACAGGTGGCTCACCCGCCACCTGTAGCACAGCTCAAGATGGTAAAACACACACACACACACACACACACACACACACACACACACACACACACACACACACACACACACACACACACACACACACACGGTTCTCGCAAGCGTCCCCAACGTCCAGAAACTAACGTATTAAAGTGCCCCTTATCCTAACCTACCAGAGGATCCACCAACAGAAAACGGGACAATACGTCAAAAATACGTCGTTCTATTAGGCTGCCGGGTTGAATATATATATATATATATATATATATATATATATATATATATATATATATATATATATATATATATATATATATATATATATATATATATATATATATATACACATACACACGAGAGGATCTGTGGCGCTGGCTCGCACATTCCTTTAAGCTCCCCCAAAGGGAAGATGTCGATGCAATATATTCATTGCAAGTAATTATGACAACAAGTACTGAAGGGTTTTAGTGTGCGCGTCTCACCTGTCTGTTGCGCTCGTCGGTAATCCGAGAGATCTGAATCTTCTTGCGTCCCATCTTGGCTGTGTGGCGGGCTCTTGGTAGCTCTCACTCTGAGCGGCGTGTGGGCGTGTGCCAGGAGCAGGCGCTAGCAGCCGTAGTTGTATAAGGCAGCAGGAGCGGCGGCGTGCGTAGGAGAGGGGAGTTAAGAAGGCGGAAGCGATTCCGCTCCCTTACAAACACCGCACTCTAATATATATATATATTAATACCGGAGGAGGGGTTTAAGTAGAGGTGCTGAAGATCACAAAATGGTTCAAAGGACACGGCGTTATCACAGAAGGTGGTGAAGGCGTGGTTTGTGTGTGTGGGGGGAGAGGGGAGGGGGTTGGTTGGTCGGCTAGGCGTGCTGTGCACCGGTGGGTGTGGGTGTGTGTGGCACAGCACCTAGCCACACACTGCAGCCGGAACACTTCTCAATCGACCGTTCCTCACTCGTCACCTGCCTCACGAGCCTCACACTGCAGCTCTCAGACTGGAAATAACACAAAATACTTTACATTAGAATATGTATGCACGCAATTATTCAATTAAAATATACGTATATTAAAGACATATTTGCAAAATACATGCAAAATTCGCAGCTAAATGTATATGTTTTCTTAGATTTAATACAATCCAACAAATCAAATAACAAACACAATAACTACAATCTAAACACCTGCCACAATAACTACAATCTAAACACCTGCCACAATAACTACAATCTAAACACCTGCCACAATAACTACAATCTAAACACCTGCCACAATAACTACAATCTAAACACCTGCCACAATAACTACAATCTAAACACCTGCCACAATAACTACAATCTAAACACCTGCCACAATAACTACAATCTAAACACCTGCCACAATAACTACAATCTAAACACCTGCCACAATAACTACAATCTAAACACCTGCCACAATAAACATTAAACAATTAGTCAAAATTACATTCAACACGAGCAAGCATACTAATGCAATATACATTTAACAAAAAAAACATGTATAGTGGAAAGGATGCAAAAATGAATTCCCGAACGTTCACATTTCCCCATCATTGCCTGACGTGTTTGGCTAAGGTACAACTTAGCATCCTCAGAGGGGAAGAAAGCGGAGAGAGGGGAAGGTAGGATCAGTGACCTAAGATACGCCAGCGATCGGAACCTTGCATGCATTCACAGCGCCGAAGAATGTTTAGAATCAATATATCTTCGCGAGTTCGTCAATCAGACACAGAGCGGGCCAGCCAGAGAGAGATTGAGGCCCCACACACACACGGGAGAATATATATATCCCAGTGCAATATAATGAAGTAATGCCGCTCAATATCTTGATCTCTCTCTCTCAGGTCTGGCGGCACTTTATTGCTCACTGGTTCTGGCCCCTGGTGACCGCCGCCTCACCACCACCACAACAGTTCCGAAGGTCGGCGACGGTTTTCGATCGCCAAGTGACTGACTGACTGGCTGGTGGAGGTCACGGGTTCGTTGACCTTGCGCGCCGTCGTACGTTCTAGCGAGATGCCATTCACGACGCAACATCGTCCCCGCCCTCGTATCTTGGGAGTCCGTCCTCCCGCACTCGATATAGTCTCCTACCTGGCCTGATGATCTCCACACACACTTACACTCGAGGAAATAATTGACGAACTCAAGAAAGAGCTCACTGAAGAGACTCTCTCTCCCCTCCGGCAGAACTTAATCCAACCCTTTCTATCCCGCCCGGAGTTCGAATCCCCCTGGCGGGATAGAAAGGGTTGGATTACGTTAGCCTTTCACCTGATGAATGGTGAATTCTGGGGAAATTCAGTAGACTTGGGAAGGGGTGTCAGACATGTGGCTCTGCACACACCTGGACGCCCGCCACACCGCCTCGTGGTCCCCCCTCTTGTAAGACACCTTCAACCACCCACCTGCAGCCTCAGCCACCCACCTGTGTCACTAACAAGACAGGACCCTAGTGGGTGGGAGTGGGCGGTGAGCCTCCACCCCGTACCCGGGCGCTGGAACAAATGAGAATCGATGGAGTGGCGGTTCGTGGGTGTTGCTCCACCCCCCTCTCCCCCCCCCCGTGTTTGTGTTTGGGATTATATGGACGTGTTGACCTGTGGCTGTCTCGGGTCCGTCTCTGTCTCGGGTCCGTCTCTGTCTCGGGTCCTTCTCTGTCTCGGGTCCGTCTCTGTCTCGGGTCCTTCTCTGTCTCGGGTCCGTCTCTGTCTCGGGTCCGTCTCTGTCTCGGGTCCTTCTCTGTCTCGGGTCCTTCTCTGTCTCGGGTCCTTCTCTGTCTCGGGTCTGTCTCTGTCTCGGGTCCGTCTCTGTCTCGGGTCCGTCTCTGTCTCGGGTCCGTCTCTGTCTCGGGTCCGTAGCATTACTGACATTTCACAGCGTTTAAGCTCACTGTGTGTACCATCATACTATCCTAAATGTTTTAGATATTTCTACATATCCAAACATGTGTTTGCACATGTGTGTGTATGTACACACATGCCAGCTCCGTGTGTATGTGGGATGAATCGACTACACCTGCCCCCCCCCATCCTACAACCGAACGAGTGAGCCTCAAAGCTCAAACATTAACATGAGATACAGAGCTGCTCTGGGATCGCTAGATTGTTTCAAGCGTAGGTTAGACGTGGATATGAGTGAGTTTAGGGTGGGTATAAGTAGGAGCTGCCTCCTCTGGGCCAACTGGCTCTCTCTGCATGTTGTTGTTAAAGATTTAGCCACTCAGGACGAAGTGTCCATGTAGCACGGGCTATGGTGAGCCCGTAACTCCTCTCTCTGCAGTTTCCTTTAGTTTTAAGTTAAGGTCAGGGTCAATACAGGGTCAAGGAGGTCAGGTGATGGTAGGAAAATACGGGAATGTGTCACAATTCACATTTCTGTGGAATGTCTTTTTTGAAGGTGGTCGATGGTGTCTTAAGGTAGTTCCAAGGATCACTATATCTGTCCCTGCGGCCTGATGATCAGCTCTCCTGGGTGGTGGTATGTTCAACCAGGCTGTTATAGCTCCCGCTGCTCGCAGATATCCAAAATTACAGCCCCGGTTGTTCAGATATCCTTTGGAGGTGAATATCAAGTTCTGTATATCTTCCTCTCGTGGTTTTTTTTCTTTGGTATTGAGTTTGGTTGTTCTTAAAGATGATGGACTGCGGCTTCCGGTTCCTGCCTGCGCGGTCATACTTGGGGGGGGGGGGGATTTTGGGGGAGTATATCTACGCCCCAAGTTACTGCCTTGTGCTAACTTGCTCCAACAGGCTGTTGCTGCTTGGAGCGGCCCGCCGGCCCACCTATCCACTACAACCTGGTTGGTCCGGCACTTCTTGAGGAACGTGTCTATGTTTTTCTTTTTGAAAAAGTTCACCATTGTTCTGGTAATGTTACCTGTGCTTGCTGGGGGGGGCCGCCCCCCCCCCCAGCCAGTCGTTATCGTCAGTCAGAAGGCAAGAATTCCACCCCCAAAGCAGAACTAGGTGAGTACACGCACACACACACACACACACACACACACACACACACACACACACACACACACACACACACACACACACACACACACACACACACACACACACACATATATACACACACACACAGAGCAGTCATGAGCCTAACAGTGGTTATGGGGAACTGACTATAGGGGGGAAATAAGTGGATGATAATTCACTATGGGAGAAATAAACTCCTTTCTGTCTTGTCCCTCACATCTTGCTTTGTTGTATCTGAAGGCTGTAGTTTAATAACCCTGACACCCCTACTCTCATAACCCCAACCTCTCCCAGACACCCCCCCATCCCCCACACCCCACTCACCAGATAACCCCCTCTCGAAACCCCCAACATCATCTCTCTCCCCCCCTCACACCTCACCCCACAGCCACCCCCTCCCCAAACACCTCACCCCACAGCAACCCCCCCCCCAAACACCTCACCCCACAGCCACCTTTTTTTTTGGGGGGGGGGGGAGTAAAGAGGAAGGAGAGGTATAGGTGAAGGGAAGTATAGAAGTGGGAAATACAATGAGAGGTATGAAAGCAGGCGGGCTGTCCGCCTTGCTAACACGATGTGTGGGTGTTGGCAGCTAAGCTAAGCTGGCTCCCTGTTGTCAGGGAGCTGTGAGTGTGTGAGAGGTTCTTCACATGTGTTTCACCATATATGGATGTCCATAGATGAATACTGTGTAGCATTCATATATACACACTCCGGTGCTTCCACACATGTTATTCTGTCTAAGGCTCTTTATTTTATTATTATTATTTATCGAGTTGTCATATATATTATTTATCGAGTTGTTTATACATACACATATATGAACTGTTCATATATATACATATATAACTCATCTGGGGATTATATACTGTGGGGCGGGGTTTTCGCCCAGAGAATCGAGGCTCTTGGGCCACCAGCTGTGGGAGCGGGGCGTCTCATCTTGGAGTAATCTTTCTAACATTGGGTCCTCTAACATTTCGATGGTGTTCCACACCCTGATGGCTTGGTGCTGCAGTCTGATGTTTAGTGGCTGTATGTTCAGGAGTTCGTGGAGCTCCTGGATTGTCTGATCATATGGTGGACGGTGTTTTGCTGCTCTCCTTAGCGCCTTATTTTGTACTGCTTGCAGTTTCTGCATGTTAGTTTTCTTTATGGTGTGTAGTGGTACTGGGGGATATTCTAGATGCGGCCGAACTAGAGCCTTATATAGGTGGATCTGAATGTTAGTACTGAGGCTTCGAAATCTTCTGTTTTCCTAATGCTGCTTTGGCTTTGTTTAGTCGGTCCCTTACATGAATTTGTATCCCTGTTCTATTTATCATAAGTCCCAGTATTCTGCCTACCTCCGCATATTGGATCGGCTGGTTATCAAGGATGATGGGGTCAGGGTTTCTTTTCGCAATGTGTATTATTTGGAACTTTTGTTTGTTGGTGCTAATTTTCCATTGCTTCTCAAAGTTGTTTATGAGTTCAATTGCTGCCTTGGTCTTGTCGGCTAGTAGCGGCTTTGATGGGCCCGGTTGGCATATTATTTGGGTGACATCATCAGCGTATGTGATGTATTCTCCATGTTGGGGTTGGGGTAGGTCAGCTGTATATATGTTGAATAGAGTGGGGGAGAGGCAGCTTCCTTGTGGTACTCCACTTTTCAGTTCTATTACGTCACCCAAGTAGCTGCCGATATTAAGCCTAGCAGTTCTATTGTCTATAAAGCTGCAGAGAGTAGCAGTAAATCTCTCAGGAAGCCCTAGTTCAGATATCTTATATTTTAGGCCTGTGTGCCACACTTTGTCGAAGGCTTTCGAGACGTCCCTAAGCACTATATTACACTGATATTACACAGCCACCTCCCCCCCCCCAAACACCTCACCCCACAGCCACCTCTCCCCCCCCCCCGAAGCACTCGACACCAAGTACCTACAAGACACCATTAACATATCCTATGAAAATGGATGGTGACGTAGGCACCACCACGCCTACGAAGGGAGATCTGAGGAAGGAAGAAGGAGGAGAGGGAGAGAATAAGATGGAGAGGCAGTAGAGAGAGAGGGAAGAGGGAGTAAATGACAAAGAGGGAGAGGAGGGGCTATAAATGACAGAAGAGAAGGAGGTGGATGAGAGAGAGAGAGAGGAATAAGCCGTGGAGACATGGAAAGGGAGGAGCCTAGAGGATGCGATATGATGATGATGATGGTGATGAGTATGATGAGCATGATGAAGAGTGGAACACGAGGAGAGCGCTGGATGCTGAGGGAGAAACACGAACCTCAGGCAAATTGGAGCGAAAGAGGAAGAGAGAGAGAGAGAGAGAGAGAGAGAGAGAGAGAGAGAGAGAGAGAGAGAGAGAGAGAGAGAGAGAGAGAGAGAGAGACACACACACACACATGAGAACGTCTACCTAAGCCGTATGCCATAAATGCCACGACATTTCTTTAATTCAAAATTCCTCCTGGGTGAAAAAAATCCACAGCAATAACTGAGAGGAACCCTGACAAACCACCGCCCCCCCCCCTCCCTCCTTTTCCCCTTTCGAGGTCACTAGAAACCGTGGCCCTCAGGTAAATTCAGGCACCAGGTCATGAAAAAGGGATCGATAAAGAACCAAAAAGAGGGAATTAGATATGGAGAGATAGAGTAAATTACACACAAACAAATGAGATAAGAATAACTCAGGTTTCGTATGTGAGGGGGGGGGGGTCCATGAGATGGGAAGGGGAGAGAGGGGGGGGGAGGCGGTGGGAGGGGAGATGGAAGGGGGGGGGGCGGGGTCGAGGCGGAAAGGCATGGGAGGAGAGGGCGTAAGACGAGAAGCCAGATGGAAAGTGAAAGAAAGATGTCATTAGCGATAAGAGGAAGGATGTCACGGGGCGTAAGACAGGGAAGAGAGGTCAGGTAAGATGGAAGATGTGGAACAGTCAAGAGTCCATTCCAAGGAAGATATGGAAGAGCAAACAGTCCCCCACCTTTGTGGGACTGTAGGGTGTAGGGTTATCTTGAGGTTATCTTGAGATGATTTCGGGGCTTTTAATTGTCCCCGCGGCCCGGTCCTCGACCAGGCCTCCACCCCCGGAAGCAGCCCGTGACAGCTGACTAACACCCAGGTACCTATTTTACTGCTAGGTAACAGGGGCTCTTTGCTCTTCCATATCTTCCCAGGGAAGATATGGAAGAGCCAGTAAGAGTCACTCTCACACACCTCTCCCTCTCTCTCTCTCTCTCTCTCTCTCTCTCTCTCTCTCTCTCTCTCTCTCTCTCCCTTACACAGCCTCATCTTTGACATTTAACTCTAAGAGGTTAGTAAACAGGAAACGAGAAATGCCAAAACTGTCCGCACTGAAATATATCGACTAATCTGGCGCGTGAAAAGTTGTATGGTTCAAATTAAGGTCATCGAGGTGGACCTCCAAAACGTTGTATATAACTCGAACACAGGAAGGTGGGGGGGGGGGCGGAGGGAGGAGGGCGATTAAAGAGGACTGTAAACGATCTAATGGGGTTGTTCGAACACCCCCCTCCCCCCAAAAAAATATATATATTGTTGAATTTTGTATATTATCGACAGTCAGACGGCAAGAATTCCACCCCCAAAGCAGAACTAGGTGAGTACACGCACGCACGCACGCACGCACGCACGCGCACACACACACACACACACTTCCTCACTTCGCTGGAAGACAGAAGAGTTAGGGGGGGACATGATCACCACATTCAAGATTCTGAAGGGGATTGATAGGGTAGATAAAGACAGTCTATTTAACACAAGGGGAACACGCACAAGGGGACACAGGTGGAAACTGAGTGCCCAAATGAGCCACAGAGATATTAGAAAGAACTTTTTTAGTTTCAGAGTGGTTGACAAATGGAATGCATTAGGGGGTGATGTGGTGGAGGCTGACTCCATACACAGTTTCAAGTGTAGATATGACAGAGCCCGATAGGCTCAGGAATCTGTACACCTGTTGATTGACGGTTGAGAGGCGGGACCAAAGAGCCAGAGCTCAACCCCCGCAAACACAACTAGGTGAGTACACACACACACACACACACACACACACACACACACACACACACACACACACACACACACACACACACACACACACACACACACACACGTCTTTCTCTCTGTCCGTTTCATGAAGTTTGTGGAGTTTCATTCCTGCCTGCATCTCCAGTGAAAAAGCTGGAGATGCAGGCAGGAGTGAAAGGGAAGGTACTCCATTGGATACAGGAGTACCTAAGCAACAGGAGGCAACGAGTCACTGTGAGGGGTGAGGTCTCAGATTGACGAGACGTCACCAGTGGAGTCCCGCAGGGGTCAGTCCTTGAACCTATACTGTTTCTGATATATGTAAATGATCTCTCAGAGGGTATAGACTCGTTTCTCTCAATGTCTGCTGACGATGCAAAAATTATGAGGAGAACTGAAACAGACGATGATAGTAGGAGGCTACAAGATGACCTAGACAGACTGAATGAATGGTCCAACAAATGGCTGCTAAAGTTCAACCCGAGTAAATGCAAAGTAATGAAACTAGGCGGTGGAAACGTGGCCAGACACAGGATACAGAATAGGAGATGAAGTATTTCATGAAACGGACAGAGAGAAAGATCTAGGAGTTGATATCACACCAAAACTGTCTCCTGAAGCCCACAAAAAAAGAATTACGTCTGCGGCATATGCGAGGCTGGCTAACATCAGAACAGCGTTCAGGAACCTGTGTAAGACTCTTGTATACCACATATGTAAGACCAATCCTGGAGTATGCGGCCCCAGCATGGAGCCCGTATCTTGTCAAGCACAAGTCGAAGCTGGAAAAAGTTGAGAGGTATGCCATTAGGCTAGTCCCAGAACTAAGAGGCATGAGTTACGAGGAAAGGCTGCGGGAAAAAAAACCTTACGACACTGGAAGACAGAAGAGTAAGGGACAGACATGATCACTACCTACAAAATGCTCAGGGGAATTGACAGGGTAGACAAGGATAACCTTTTCAACACGGGTGGTACGCGAACAAGGGGACACAGGTGGAAACTGAGTACCCAAATGAGCCACAGAGACGTTAGAAAGAACTTTTTCAGTGTCAGAGTAGTTAACAGGTGGAGTGCATGTGGTGGAGGCTGACTCCATACACAGTTTTAAATGTAGATATGATAGAGCCCAGTAGGCTCACGAATCTGTACATTAGATGATAGAGAGTTGAGAGGCGGGACCAAAGAGCTCAACCCCCGCAAGCACACCTAGGTGGGTACACACACACAAGGGGGGAGGGGGTGTAGGGGGGCTGGAAGAAAGTGGTGAGGGTTAATGAGACAGGAAGCGAAGGGGTCTTAAGATGTGAGGTGATAACAAGGGTGTGAGGTGAGAGAAGGGCTGTGAGGGTGAAGGAAGGGAGGAAGGGAGGAAGGAAGGAAGGAAGGAAGGAAGGAAGGAAGGAAGGAAGGAAGGAAGGAAGGAAGGAAGGGAAAAGTTGCTTGGAAGGTGGTGTGGAGTGATGGGAGGGGGTTAGTGGAAAGTGAGAGGGGGAAGAGGAAGGTGGAGTAGGAGATATGGAACAGGAAACAGGTTGGAGGAAGTAGGGGATAGTAGGGGATAGGGGGGGGGGAGAAGGAGAGAAGCGATATCTTCGCTACGCCCTTGACCTAGTTCCTTCGCCCCCCCCACCCCCCAAACTTCCCCTCCCCCATCCCTATTCCCCCTTCCTATCCCTCCCCCCCCTCACTATCCCTCTCCATCCTCTTTACTCCCCCCAAAAAAGACGAAGAAGAAAAGGTGGCAGTGGTGAAGGGGAGGTGGCACTGGTGTAGGGGCGGTGGCACTGGTGTAGGGGCGGTGGCACTGGTGTAGGGGCGGTGGCACTGGTGTAGGGGCGGTGGCACTGGTGTAGGGGAGGTGGCACTGGTGTAGGGGAAGTGGCACTGGTGTAGGGGAGGTGGCACTGGTGTAGGGAGAGGTGGCACTGGTGTAGGGAGAGGTGGCACTGGTGTAGAGAGAGCTGGCACTGGTGTAGGGGAGGTGGCACTGGTGTAGGGGAGGTGGCACTGGTGGAGGGGAAACCCCCCCCCCCACGAAAAGAAGGGGGGGTTGGGGTTTCAAGAAAGGAATATTGAGAATTGGAGGAGAGAGAAAGACAGAGAGGTGTGTGGGACGAATGGTATGAATAAAGCGGAGAGAATCACAGAAAGGGAGAGGAGGGGAGGGGGGGGTGCTGAGGGAGAGGGAGAGAGAGAGAGAGAGAGAGAGGAGGGGGAGGGGGGTGTGGGGTGAGAGAGAGAGGGAGAGGAGGTGGCCCAACTGGTTCTGTACGGTGCTACCTTATTCAAGTGACAAGGACCAGTGACGCAACGCATCAACCTTTGACACCCTTCTCCTCTCCCCCCCCCCCACCCACCTCCCCTTGCAGCGGCGCACATGTATAACCCACACCTGACACCCACACACACACACCTGTACACACCTGCCCCACCCACACACACCCCTGCCACCCACTGGACAACTGTCATGTCACACAATATATATATATATATATATATATATATATATATATATATATATATATATATATATATATATATATATATTTATATACCACCACCTAGCCCAATCACTATCGTCGCTCCTCAATACCATTTCTAACTGTTTGTCACAACTACAACCAGGGAACTAGATCCCCCCCTGACACTAGAAGGAAATAACACATGAGGGGACGTGATCACTACATATAAGATACTGACAGGGGGGAGGGGAACAAAAAAAAAGAAGAGGAGGGTAGTTTCTTTTAAATTAAGAGAAAGCAGGTCAAGATCACCATCAAAATCACACCATCACCACCAAGATCACACCATCACCACCAAGATCACACCATCACCATCAAGATCACACCATCACCACCAACATCACACCATCACCACCAAGATCACACCATCACCATCAAGATCACACCATCACCACCAAGATCACACCATCACCATCAAGATCACACCATCACCATCAAGATCACACCATCACCACCAAGATCACACCATCACCATCAAGATCACACCATCACCATCAAGATCACACCATCACCACCAACATCACACCATCACCATCAAGATCAAACCATCACCATCAAGATCACACCATCACCATCAAGATCACACCATCACCATCAAGATCACACCATTACCACCAAGATCACACCATCACCATCAAGATCACACCATCACCATCAGGCTCACATCATCACCATCAAGATCACACCATCACCATCAGGCTCACACCATCACCATCAGGATCACACCATCGCCACCAGGATCACACCATCACCATCAAGATCACACCATCACCACCAAGATCACACCATCACCACCAAGACCACACCATCACCACCAAGATCACACCATCACCATCAAGATCACACCATCACCATCAAGATCACACCACCACCATCAAGATCACACTATCACCGCCAAGATCACACCATCACCATCAAGATCACACCATCACCATCAGGCTCACACCATCACCATCAGGATCACACCATCACCACCAGGATCACACCATCACCATCAAGATCACACCATCACCACCAAGATCACACCATCACCACCAAGATCACACCATCACCAACAAGACCACACCATCACCACCAAGATCACACCATCACCACCAACATCACACCATCACCACCAAGATCACACCATCACCATCAAGATCACACCATCACCATCAAGATCACACCATCACCACCAAGACCACACCATCACCACCAAGACCACACCATCACCACCAAGATCACACCATCACCACCAACATCACACCATCACCACCAAGATCACACCATCACCATCAAGATCACACCATCACCATCAAGATCACACTATCACCGCCAAGATCACACCATCACCATCAAGATCACACCATCATCACCAAAATCACACACCATCACCATCAAGATCACACCATCACCACCAAACTCACACCATCACCATCAAACTCACACCATCACACTATCACCACAATCACCGTCTCCTTCCAACGCTCCAATCAACATACAACAACGACAGATGCCCAGACCTGAGAGAGAGAGAGAGAGAGAGAGAGAGAGAGAGAGAGAGAGAGAATAGTGTCCCTCCGAGTGCGAAGTTCTGAGTCTGCTGTTAAAGCCGGCCTGTCCATCCGGCTCTACCTTGATAACCACCCTACCCCCCCCCTCGATATCACCCCTCCTTTCCCCCCCCATATAACACCCCCCCCCCCCGCCCCCTCCCTACCCCCAGAAGCCCCCCCTTCAACCTGACCTCCGCAGGTCAGGTACAACGCCTCCAGAGACCCTCCGAGAACGTTCACAAGGGCGCCGCTAGCTTCGTCCCCTCCCTACCCCACTCCCCAGGTAGAGAAGTGGGTGGTGGTGGTGGTGGTAGTGTTAAAGGGGCACTGCTCAAACCAGGGGACTCCTATCCCCCCCCCCCTCCTATCCCTTCCCACCACCCCCACTGAAGGTCACCACAGCCTGGGACGAACCTTGCAATCGCCAGGAGGAGCACCTTCCATTCTTATTGTTTGGTCAGCTGCCTTATCTTGAGTTATCTTGAGATGATTTCGGGGCTTTTGTGTCCCCGCGGCCCGGTCCTCGACCAGGCCTTCACCCCCAGGAAGCAACCCGTGACAGCTGACTAACACCCAGGTGCCTTGCATCTTGTTATTCAATGACTTACCTCTAAGCCTCACGGACTAGATCTAAACTTCATAGGCTACCTCTGAATTATCCTAGGATAGCCTCAATCATCCCGGGATGGTTTCAATCATCCCAGGATGGTCTCAATCATCCCAGGATAGCCTCAATCATCCCAGGATGGACTCAATCATCTCAGGATAGTCTCAATCATCCCAGGGTGGTATTAATCATCCCAGGATGGTATTAATCATCCCAGGATGGTCTCAATCATCCCAGGATAGCCTCAATCATCCCAGGATGGACTCAATCATCCCAGGATGGTCTCAATCATCCCAGGATGGTATTAATCATCCTGGGATGGCCTCAATCATCTCAGGATAGTCTCAATCATCCCAGGATGGTCTCAATCATCCCAGGATGGTCTCAATCATCCCAGGATGGTCTCAATCATCCCAGGATGACCTCAATCATCCCAGGATGGACTCAATCATCCCAGAATGGTCTCAATCATCCCAGGATGGTATTAATCATCCCAGGATGGTCTCAATCATCCCAGGATAGCCTCAATCATCCCAGGATGGACTCAATCATCCCAGGATGGTCTCAATCATCCCAGGATGGTATTAATCATCCCGGGATGGCCTCAATCATCTCAGGATAGTCTCAATCATCCCAGGATGGTCTCAATCATCCCAGGATGGTCTCAATCATCCCAGGATGGTCTCAATCATCCCAGGATGGTCTCAATCATCCCAGGATGGTCTCAAGCATCCCAGGATGGTCTCAATCATCCCAGGATGGACTCAATCATCCCGGGATGACCTCAATCATCCCAGAATGGTCTCAATCATCCCAGGATGGCCTCAATCATCCCAGGATGGTCTCAATCATCCCAGGATGGTCTCAATCATCCCAGGATGGTCTCAATCATCCCAGGATGGTCTCAATCATCCCAGGATGGTCTCAATCATCCCAGGATGGTCTCAATCATCCCAGGATGGTATTAATCATCCCGGGATGGTCTCAATCATCCCAGGATGACATTAACAATCACGTCTACAACCTCGTAAGTTCCCAATAACCTACGTCATTTATCGTCGCCCTCTGCGATAACCGACAGGTGAAAGGATAGCAATTTCGTAAGATTAACTTGTGTGTGCTATTTTGAAAACGGAATTCACGTTTGTTGTCAAAAGAAAACGAGATCCGGTTGATACCTGAATTGGGAATAATTAAGCTATCGCAATTACAACCAAACTCAATTAACATATAACCCCCCCCCCCCCGCTAATGAGTACAGGTATATGCCTAGCAGGACCATATTAGCATAACTAGACCTAAACTCATTAACGTAACCAAACCCATTTTCTATATTCTATAGGCGGGGGTGGGGGGGGGGGGGAATATCCTATATTCCGTCCTCTCACTCCTCTCTCTCTCTCTCTCTCTCTCTCTCTCTCTCTCTCTCTCTCTCTCTCTCTCTCTCTCTCTCTCTCTCTCTCTCTTTCTCTCTCTCTCTCTCTCACCCCCTCTCTCTCTCTCTCTCTCTCTCTCTCTCTCTCTCTCTCTCTCTCTCTCTCTCTCTCTCTCTCTCTCTCTCTCTCTCTCTCTCTCTCATCTCTCTCTCTCTCTCCCTCTCTCTCTCTCTCTCCTCCTCCTCCTCCTCCCTCATAACAGTTACCTCACACTGCTAATCACCCTCCCCCCCCCCACAACTGGGATTACCCCCCCCCCCCTCCACCAACTGGGATTACCCTTCACCACAATTCAGTTCCACAAGTGAGCTTTGCTAATTCTGTTTTTTTTTTTGCCAGCAATTATTAACCCCCCCCCCCACACAAATAAAAAAATTAGCATTCAATTTTGTGTCATTCTCGACAGACTCGCCAAATAAATCCCAATTCACGCGCGCCAATTTCGCCTAAAAAAATAAATATATATATTCAACAGATCATTATAAACCAAAAAAAAACACACACACACACACACACTTTGGCCGAACGAAGGGGATTTGGCATCATTGAGTTTAGGTCTTAATACAATATGCTAGAATCATTCCAAACGAGGATATATAAGCTTCCTAAATACTAAAGTTAAGCTTGGGGGGGGGGGGGGGACAAACAAACTAGGATACAATCACCCCCCCCAAAAAAACAAACAAGCTGTATTTGTAATGTTTTAAAAAGTGATATAGATATCTTTCTGAGTTATGCAGGCTGAATTAACCTGTTCCATTGTTGTAACCTTCAAGAGTTAACTACTGAACTAGTGTGTGTGTGTGTGTGTGTGTGTGTGTGTGTGTGTGTGTGTGTGTGTGTGTGTGTGTGTGTGTGTTTTACCACATGGCTGTGGAGGAGGGGGGGAGGAGAGGGGGGGGGGAGATAGGGAAGGAGGAGAATGAGGTTGGAGAGGGGGAAAATGAGGGAGGGGGCGAGGGGGAAATGAGGGAGGGGGCGGGGCGAGGGGGAAATGAGGGAGGGGGCGGGGGGGGGGGAAATGAGGGAGGGGGCGAGGGGGAAATGAGGGAGGGGGCGGGGCGAGGGGGAAATGAGGGAGGGGGCGGGGGGGGGGAAATGAGGGAGGGGGCGAGGGGGAAATGAGGGAGGGGGCGGGGGGAAATAAAGTAGGAGGAGGGGGGGGGAAGAGAGAGAGAAAGATTGTAAAGTTCCCAAGCCCCTAAACTCTTTACTAAATGTAAACCTAGCCGCCATGACTGAGGGAAAGATGTAAAGGTTTCGTAACTGGTGATGATGAATAGCTTGATGAATCCTGCCTCCTGATCAGTGAGAAACGCTCCCCTCTTCCCCCTCTCCCCTCCCCCATCCTGCTGTGCTACACTGCAAGAGGGGAAGTTGCAAATGCAACTTAGAAACAGAAACAGCACTCGCAGCATCACCAATAACAGCAGATAAATGACAATAACAACAACAACACGGCTCGAATGATACTTTTAATTTTACGAACTTGACGAAAAACAAATTAAAAACAAGTACACAAAAAAACAATTGCGAGCAACACTCTACATTAACGATCTTAATTTGTTCGCGCGAGTCTACGCAAAAGTTTACACTATAAATATACCGCAGTATACATTTGAAGGCGACTAGAGTGTGATACACATGTAAACCGCTGTATCCTCCAGTGACGCCAGAGGAATTGGGCGGACGAGGCTACTACACGACGATCGTCGCACAGGGCCGGAGACGTCGTCTCAGGTAGGTCGTCCGCCCCCGGCAGTACGACCCGTCGCCCGGGCAGTACGACACGTCGCCCCCGGCAGTACGACCCGTCGCCCCGGCAGTACGACCCGTCGCCCCGGGCAGTACAACACGTCGCCCCCGGCAGTACAACACGTCGCCCCCGGCAGTACGACCCGTCGCCCCGGCAGTACGACCCGTCGCCCCGGGCAGTACAACACGTCGCCCCCGGCAGTACAACACGTCGCCCCGGGCAGTACGACCCGTCGCCCCGGGCAGTACGACCCGTCGCCCCGGGCAGTACGACCCGTCGCCCCGGGCAGTACGACCCGTCGCCCCGGGCAGTACGACCCGTCGCCCCGGGCAGTACGACCCGTCGCCCCGCGGGACGTCATCTGGCCGACATAGCCTCCATACCTAACACTCCAGTTTTACATATTAGGTCACACATCTCTCTCCCACATGTCAAGACAAATTAAATATGTGAAGGGAAACTACCTGAAGGTTCAAGAGTGTGTGTGTGTGTGTGTACTCACCAATATCCGCTGAGAGCCAGCTCCTAAGCCCCGCCTTTAAATCACTGATTGCTTGTTACAATGACCCTCTTCCTACTTGCTATTCCTTAGCTGTTGCTGTTAAAGATTCGCTACCTGGAAGAAAGTTCCAAGTAGCACGGGCTATGGTGAGCCCGTGCTACTCCTTATAGCTGCTATTCAAATACGGAACTGGAAAGTTAAATACCAATTGAAAATCTCATCTTTGAACTTTCTGTCGACTTCTCAATAATCTTGTATGTCTTGAACATATCTTCTCTGATCCTTTCTTTGTGTGTAGCGGTGCGGGCGTGCGTACGCGCGCGCAGGCCCTGCTAATGAATATAAGACGTTGGAGATCTTGGAGTGACAGGTCAAACATTGACCGGTAGAGGGCAGTATCCCTCCCTATACCGGGCCTTGACCTCGCCTGTATTTTACCTGTAATGGGTTTCGCGAGTTGCTTTACTCCCCCCCTCCCCCCACCCCTGCTCATCGCTGGGGCCAGGATTGATCCGTCAGGCTGTTTTGCAGCCTTTTCTCTCTCTCAAAGTGGAGGGATCAGGTTACCCAACATTCCCCCCTTGCACGCTGTTTAAAAACCATTAGAACAGGGAGTTAGCCTGGTCGGGGGACCGGGCCGCGAGGACGTTGAGCCCCGAAATGATCGCGGTAACCATCCACGGAGCTCCCGCGCGCCCACCCAACAACGAGAATGAGACGCGACGCAAGGCGAGGGGGGAGCACAAGGGCACGACCCTCTTCCAGCCGGGGTAAATGGACAACAGAATTCAGTTTCGGTGGTAATGTGATCAACCGGTGTCAATGTCCAGCGTCCTCTGTTGGAGGAGGAGGAGGGGGCGAGGAGGAAGGGGCGAGAAGAAGGGGGCGAGAAGAAGGGGGCGAGGAGAAGGGGCGAGAAGGACGAGGAAGGCAGAGGGGAAGAAAGAAGACTTAGGCAGGGGGAACGGAGAACGTAGAGAAGGCGCAGAAAGAGGTGGAGGAGTTAGGGAGGTGAAAACGAAATTAAGGAGAGAGAGAGAGAGGTGTAGGGAGGTAGGGTAAGAGGAAGGGAAGAGGAAGGAGAGAGAGAGAGGTATAGGGAGGAAGGGTAAAATGAAGGGAGGAGGAAGAAGGGAGACAGGTAGGTAGGTAGGTAGGTAAGGAAGGGAAAGAATGTGACACCATCGTCACACACCTGACAATATACAGGTCAAAGCACCGCATTTCATCTCGAATTGTATATTCAATTGAACTTACATACGTGATCGGCACGAGAAATATGAAATAAACCGCAGAGAAAAAAAAATTGCATCGCTCAGTTTTCTTCAGCTATATAACATTCGAGTTCGACACTTCGCGTTGGAGTAGAAACAGTCGTGTTGAACACCACGGGTGAAGACAGGGTAGAGGAGCCATCTTTGAAAAGCGCCCAAATCGCGCTTAAATTCTCCGATATTTAATTTTTAACGCTAGACACGTACAGGCGTACTAGATAACCTGTACGCCAAGACCTGTATGCCAAGACCTGTACGCCAAGACCTGTACGCCAAGACCTGTACGCCAAGACCTGTACGCCAAGACCTGTATGCCAAGACCTGTACGCCAAGACCTGTATGCCAAGACCTGTACGCCAAGACCTGTACGCCAAGACCTGTACGCCAAGACCTGTACGCCAAGACCTGTACGCCAAGACCAGTGTCACGAATCTTATTACGATTCTGCCAATTCTCCCGAACCTCGTATTATGTTATTGTTTTCTCTAAGTAAATATTGCTGTCAGTTGTATAAGATTTGTGTATATAGATATATATACATTATATATATATAACATAGATAGCTGGGTAGTGTGTGTAAGGTACCTGGTTGATGGGGTTCTGGGAGTTCTTCTACTCCCCAAGCCCGGCCCGAGGCCAGGCTCGACTAAAACAGGTATGTTTTGGTGGTGTATGTCACGTGAAATTAGCCGTGTGGGCGGTTGACAATATTTGGGAATGGCCAGGGCGATTGTTGGCATATCAATTGCCTATAGTTTTATATTTATTTATTCCCATATGTAGTAGCCGTAATATTTCAAGGAATGTGAGACCAGTAATTACAACTCTTAGTTAATAATGTTGGAGTTAGGGCTGACCTTTGTAAATAGAATGTTCACAATGTTCATGCGAACGTTAATTGGTGTTTGGGTAGACGGTTAGTCGACGTTGGGCCTGCGGACCCCGTCCTGGGCAGTAGAGTGGCGGCTGCGGTCGAGTGCAGTTGTGTTTAAGCTAAGTTCTTGGTTTTTGTTATTTTAAGCCCATATAAATATTAATTTATCTGGATAGACGATTTTAGTGTATTTATGGCTTACTCCATATTCTGGTGATAGTGCTTGGGTCTCAACTAATTACTTGCATTCTATAGTATTATATGCTGATAAATATTTCTGGCTACTATTTATTTAATTGTTGTTAAGTTGTCACCCTTAGCAAAATATATTGTTCTCCCGTTTTTATACAGTGATTAATTATACCCCAAGACACCTATTGGCATGGCAGAGTTTTATTTGTTCTTTACACTGTGGGGAGAAGAACATTATTTAGTCTCAAGGGTCGTGACAACCAGTACGCCAAGGCCTGTACGCCAAGACCTGTACGCCAAGACCAGTACGCCAAGGCCTGTACGCCAAGGCCTGTACGCCAAGGCCTGTACGCCAAGGCCTGTACGCCAAGGCCTGTACGCCAAGGCCTGTACGCCAAGACCTGTACGCCAAGACCTGTACGCCAAGACCTGTACGCCAAGACCTGTACGCCAAGACCGCCCGTCTTTTCTCAGGAAATACAGAGATCAGGACGCGGCGTAGTTGACGGAAATACGCCCTATAATGACGTCTACGCAAACGCCATCTGACACTCCGTAAAGAATGCAACTGTCTGGCGTAACCAGAAACATTCCAGCAACCTATTGCTGCCGCTGTTCTCAAACAAAAAAGTCAATATTACCTTGCGTCAAGTCTGACTTGACGACGCATTTTTTAACGCACTGGCCGATTCCGTACCAAAAAAAAAAAAAAAAAAAAAAATACGGCGTATTGAAAAGACATGTTGGAATAAATATAGGCCTAATCTGTAATATATCAGAGGCGGACATAGAGGTCAGGGCCCCAGCCAGAGGCTATGGAATATCCCTAAAAAAAAAAATCAATCAATTTTTTGCGTCTGTACTAAAAGTAGATTTTTTGGGGGGGGAATCTACTCAAGTGTTCGGAAATTAGACCAGGTAGATAAACTCCAACACGAGAAAATATATTACAGAAAAGTTTTGTGTACATGTATTATTAAAAATTGAATTAAAACCGACTAGGCATATATATATATATATATATATATATATATATATATATATATATATATATATATATATATATATATATATATATAAATGGGTTCTAAATTGGGAAATATGTAAATAGGTTCTCCTACAGTTAAAGAGGATAAAATTCAGCCAACTAACCTACTTGTCATTTAATCCGAAATAGCTACGGAAACGCACGGAGGAAAAACGTTTAACCGGATACCCCGTTAAACGGATTCTGTATGATGTTCCATACACGACCCTTAACACCCCCCTCCCTCCAATCCTACCCTCTTTACCTCTACCAATCACCCCCCCCCTCCACCGCCTCCAATCTCCTTCCAATCCTCTCCACCAATAACTCTCCCACACATTCATTATTTTCATTCTTGAGTAATCCCAATTCACGCAAAATTCTTTCCTTCAATGAATATTTTACACTCCCCCCCTCCCCCCCCCATGACACATATAGGGGGGTGGGGGCTGGTGATTCACACAGCTTGATACATAATCTTTTATACATGGGGGGGGGGAAGGATACATAATACACTACGATTCTCGTATTAATAATCTGAGATTTACTACGAAAGATGAGCTCGTTTGTCTAACTACCTGTCTTGCAGGACAGCGTTCGATCCCCCTTCCCCCTCCCACACTTAGTTCAAGTGGTTGGGCACCATTCCTTCTCACCGTCCTTGTATCTCGGTTCCCTGTCCTTTGTATCCCTTCATTGCGGTATGCTTTCATAGCGCTTTCTGCCCGTGTCGCGAATCTTAGTCTGTCGCATATCCCTCCTTCCCTCTGCTAGTCAAAACTGGTTTAGTCGCTTCGTAATTCATTCACCTTTTTGTCGCTAGAGGACAGGATGGATGTTAGTTGGATAGGATAGGATAGATAATACAATCCTAGAGTTGTTTGATTGTTTGCTAATCAATTATCAATATCTACTTCGGTGAATTTGGCATTGAAGTATTTCTCAGGAATATTTTAATTACGACCCTGTAGCTCACACACTATGGTCTGGTGTAAGCGTAGATCACACACTATGGTCTGGTGTAAGCGTAGCTCACACACTATGGTCTGGTGTAAGCGTAGACCACACACTATGGTCTGGTGTAAGCGTAGCTCACACACTATGGTCTGATGTAAGCGTAGCTCACACACTATGGTCTGGTGTAAGCGTAGCTCACACACTATGGTCTGGTGTAAGCGTAGATCACACACTATGGTCTGGTGTAAGCGTAGATCACACACTATGGTCTGGTGTAAGCGTAGATCACACACTATGGTCTGGTGTAAGCGTAGCTCACACACTATGGTCTGGTGTAAGCGTAGACCACACACTATGGTCTGGTGTAAGCGTAGCTCACACACTATGGTCTGATGTAAGCGTAGCTCACACACTATGGTCTGGTGTAAGCGTAGCTCACACACTATGGTCTGGTGTAAGCGTAGATCACACACTATGGTCTGGCGTAAGCGTAGATCACACACTATGGTCTGGTGTAAGCGTAGATCACACACTATGGTCTGGTGTAAGCGTAGATCACACACTATGGTCTGGTGTAAGCGTAGCTCACACACTATGGTCTGGCGTAAGCGTAGCTCACACACTATGGTCTGGTGTAAGCGTAGATCACACACTATGGTCTGGTGTAAGCGTAGATCACACACTATGGTCTGGTGTAAGCGTAGATCACACACTATGGTCTGGTGTAAGCGTAGATCACACACTATGGTCTGGCGTAAGCGTAGATCACACACTATGGTCTGGCGTAAGCGTAGATCACACACTATGGTCTGGCGTAAGCGTAGATCACACACTATGGTCTGGCGTAAGCGTAGATCACACACTATGGTCTGATGTAAGCGTAGATCACACACTATGGTCTGGCGTAAGCGTAGCTCACTCACTATGGTCTGGCGTAAGCGTAGATCACACACTATGGTCTGGCGTAAGCGTAGATCACACACTATGGTCTGGCGTAAGCGTAGATCACACACTATGGTCTAGTGTAAGCGTAGATCACACACTATGGTCTGGCGTAAGCGTAGATCACACACTATGGTCTGGTGTAAGCGTAGATCACACACTATGGTCTGGTGTAAGCGTAGATCACACACTATGGTCTGGTGTAAGCGTAGATCACACACTATGGTCTGGTGTAAGCGTAGATCACACACTATGGTCTGGCGTAAGCGTAGATCACATACTCCTACGCTGTAAGCGTGGAAATGACTAAGTTAAACGTACAGAACGGAAATGAAAAGGGCCATGATAAAACAGAGTCTTGATCGTGTCTTAGGATCCCTGTCTACTCCTGGTTCATATTCTGTGGCCTCTGGGATTCACGAAAGCACTTACGAACCTGTACATCTTTTCTCAATCTTTGGCGGCTTTGTTTCCAATTATTAAACAGTTAATGAGCTCCGAAGCACCAGGAGGCTGTTTATAACAATAACAACAGTTGAATGTCAAGTTTTCATGCTTGTAAACTGTTTAATAAATGTAACCAAAGCCGTCAAAGATTGAGGAAAGATGTACACGTTCGTAAGTGCTTGCGTATGTGCTTTCGTGAATCTGGCCCCCGGTCACTCGTATCCCTTACGCAATTATTTCCTTCTCTAACCTTCCTAGAATGATCTTGATTTGCTTGTATTAATACACCAAAGATATCTGCACATTAATACACCGCGTCCCTATAGACTGCATGAAGGGATACAGAGTTGGTGTCGAAGAGATACTTAAAAATACTAAATACAGATACTAAAGGGAAAAGCTATCTCGCAGGATAGTTAGTCATACAGGGTGTCACAGCATGTCTATCTGAATTGGCCCAACTATATATATCTATACTATATATATATATAGTATAGATATACTATATTTATATGTATATATCTATATATATCCACAAGGACACGAGCGAAAAAGAGTATAATTGCACAGCGTCTAATGACTGGAAACTGATATAATGTCGTGAGATCATGCCCCCCCCCCGGGAATCGAACCCGGGCCCTTAGGGTTACGACCACCCGTACGTCGCCTGGGCCACCCAGCTGTGCAACGCTCAAGTCTTCTCAACCAATAGGTCGCGTTTTTTTACGTTGTGGAAGCTAACGTAACAAATGCAATCTATTATGACACGTAACGCAAATATCTTCGTTTTCTATGCATCGGAGTTGGCAGGTTAGGTGGGTTGCTTGGGTGTATTGTTTTAGGGTCTACAGGTCGTCACATGTGGCGTCTGGTGGTGCCACAGTCACTGGTGCCACAGACCTTGGTGCCACAGTCACTGGTGCCATAGTCCATAGTGCCAGACCCTGGTGCCACAATCCCTGGTGCCACAGTCAATGGTGCCACAGTCAATGGTGCCACAGGCCTTGGTGCCACAGGCCCTGAAGCCATAGTCCATGGTGCCACAGTCCCTATAGTGCCATAGTCCATAATGCCATAGCGCCATGGTGCCAGACCATGGTGCCATAGTCCATAATGCCAGACCCTGGTGCCACAGTCCATAGTGCCATAGTCCATAATGCCAAGTGCCCCAGTCCCTATAGTGCCATAACCCATAGTGCCAGAGTCCATAATACCAGACCCTGGTGCCACAGTCCCTGATGTCACAGTCAATGGTGCCATAATCCATAGTGCCATGGTGCCACAGACCCTGGTGCCATGGCAAACAAACCAAGACACACTGTAAACACAATTCCCAAGAAACACAACTGACTTCCCACAGAATCCTTACCCCCCCCCTTCCCCCCCCCCCCCGGGGGGCAAGGAAAAGTACGTCCACCCGCTCAGCTGTTTCTCGTAGACAATTACATCACACTACCTTCAATTGGTCCAACTCCAAACAACCACTCGAGCGTCAGAGACACACACATGACTTACTGCAAACAGTAACAAACATGACTTACTGGATCTTTAAGACAAACAGAATGGTAAACAAAAACTTACTTACTTCAGAGGCGGTTGAGACGTTGAAGTGTGTGTGTATGTGGTATAAGTGCGCCTTCTCCGAGCTACACATACACACGCGCGCGCACACACACACACACACACACGCAAAGTCACACTCGTGGATCTTCACTTCTTGAGTACGATCACTCAATCTGAGTTTTATATCAAGTCTTCACTCGAATCTTCAGGTCGCCTCGAGTGCTGAGGGTTAATGTTTAAGTCGTTCACAGATTGGTCAGTGCCTTGATCAACTCTTGGTGGAGGGGGGTGGAGGGGGGGTGGGGGGGGTTGCCACTCTTCACAAATACAACACAAATACAATAACCTAATGAGAATCGAATCGAGACTAGATAGTTATGACTGGAGGTAGTAGTAGTAATAGTGGTTAGTTGACTGGAGGAGGGGTGGTGGTTGACGGGGGGAGTATTATATGGTAGTTGATGGGTGGTGGGGGGGGTATATACGGACGAGCGGCGACGGTTAGGCAGCGACCTGCGTGGCACTAGCTACACGACTGCTCCCCACGAGGCGCTCTCGCTGACTGAAGAGCCACACTGCCACCCACTGAGGGGACAGGGGGTGAGGGGACGAGGGAGAGGGGGAGGGAGGGGAGGACGCTGCCTACTACCCCCCTCTGACTCACTCGCTCGCTAGCCCCTACTAACCTCCCCTGCTACCTTCCTATCTACCTACCTAACCTACCCCCTTCCCCCCAACACACACACATCCCCTACCCCAATCTTCGCTATATACCCTCCGCGGACTCCTACCTACCTAACCTCTCCCCCCTATCCTCACCCCCCCTCTTGTCTCAATGGGGTGCTTACCTAATAGTGGTTTACCTTTCAATACTTACCTGTGGGTGACTACTACGAAGTGAGCTCTAGCTCTGCATGCCCAGCCTACTCAGCCTCTTGTACCTGTTGCGTTATAATTCAATCTGTTCTGTTGCTCGAATCTGGTCTTAAAGGTGTGGATGGAGGTGGCTTCCACAACCTCCTCTTCCAGTGCCACCCGTACGAGGTGGCACTGAAAAAGAGGCACTGCAAGAGGCTGACCTTGTAGTGACCTTTGTCTACTCCCTCTCTTAGTATCTGCAATGTTTTGGTCATGTCTCCTCTTTTCCACCCTTCATGATTGTGAGGTCCATTTTCCCCCCTCAACCTAATCTTACAGCTTAGTTTCATGCTTTACAAGACTTGATTCCATGCGGGTGCTGCATCTTCCAGTATTAGTCTAACGTACGCTGCCTTCAGTCTTGATTTAGGTGTCTAGACGACGTTCTCCAGCGTCGCATATGCTGCTGATGTTACTCTGCCTGTGTGTGTGCCTTTGGTGCTGGAGTTATCAGCGCTCCCATATTACACTGATTACTGTAGTTGTCCTTATGGAGTAGTCACCTGGGAAAGGGGAAGGGGGGAGGGGAAGGGGGTGCATTACCGTGGGAGGGGAGGGTAGGATTACTGAGGGAGGGGGGAGGGGAAACAGTGAGAGGGGAGGGCCGGAAGGAGTAGTGAGGGGTTGAGTCTGGTGGTATGAACGGTAAGTGGCCCCATAATGCTCCGGTAGATAACCCAGGGGCCTTCCTACCACCACACTACCACCACTACCACACTACCACTACCACCACTACCACCACTACCACTACCACCACTACCACCACTACCACTACCACCACTACCACCACACTACCACCACCATACAACCACCACCACACTTCTGTCCACTACCACACTACCACCATCACACTACAACCACCACCACACCACCACACTACACACTACTACTGAAAGAGAAGGGTGGGCAGACTGCATTTTCTTGGACTGTCAGAAAGCTTTTGACACAGTACCTCACAAAAAGCTGTTACGAAAGTTTGGAGCAACAGGCAGGAGTAAAAGGTAAGGTGCTCCAGTGGATAAGGGAGTATCTAAGCAACAGGAAACAGCGAGTAACTGTGAGGGGGGAAGACATCAGAGTGGTGAGATGTCACCAGCGGAGTCCCACAGGGCTCAGTACTTGGACCCATCCTTTTTCTAATATATGTAAACGATCTTCAAGAGGGTATAGACTCATTCCTCTCAATGTTTGTTGATGATGCACAAATTATGAGAAGAATCAAGACAGATGAAGATAGACAGAGACTACAGGACGACCTGGACAGGCTGGAGGAATGGTCTAGAAAATGGCTACTAAAGTTCAACTCAGGAAAGAGCAAAGTAATGGAATTAGGCGAAGGGAGCAGAAGGCTGAACACAAGGTACCATCTGGGAGGTGAAATCCTACAAGAGTCAAATTGAGAGAAAGATCTGGGGGTTGATATCACACCGAACCTGTCCCCAGAGGTCCACATGAAAAGGATATCATCAGCGACATATGCTAGACTGACCAACATAAGAACTGCCTTTAGAAACTTATGTAAGGAATCGTTCAGGACCCTGTATACCACTTATGTCAGACCAATACTGGAATATGCAGCTCCAGCCTGGAGTTCATACCTAGTTAAACACAAGACAAAGTTAGAGATGATTCAGCGGTATGCCACCAGACTAGTCCCGGAACTGAGAGGTATGAGCTACGAGGAAAGGCTAAGTGAGCAGAAACTCACGTCCCTGGAAGACAGATTAGTAAGGGAAGACATGATAACCACCTATAAAATTCTCAGGGGAATTGTCAAGGTGGACAAAGACAAACTCTCTAACACGGGTGGAATACGAACAAGGGGACACAGGTGGAAACTTAGTGCCCACATGAGCCACAGAGACGTTAGAAGGAACTTTTTCAGTGTCAGAGTAGTTAACGGATGGAATGCACTAGGAAGTGATGTGGTGGAGGCTGACTCCATACACAGTTTCAAATGTAGATATGATAAGAGCCCAGTAGGGTCAGGAACCTGTACACCAGTTGATTGACAGTTGAGAGGCGGGACCAAAGAGCCAGAGCTCAACACCCACAAGCACAATTAGGTGAGTACACACACACACACACACACACACACACACACACACACACACACACACACACACACACACACACACACACACACACACACACACACACACACAGTAGGGCCTCGTAGCCTGGTGGATAGCGCGCAGGACTCGTAATTCTGTGGCGCGGGTTCGATTCCCGCACGAGGCAGAAACAAATGGGCAAAGTTTCTTTCACCCTAAGTGCCCCTGTTACCTAGCAGTAAATAGGTACCTGGGAGTTAGTCAGCTGTCACGGGCTGCTTCCTGGGGTGTGTGTGTGTGTGTGTGTGTGGTGTGGGGAAAAAAAAAGTAGTTAGTAAAGAGTTGATTGACAGTTGAGAGGCGGGCCGAAAGAGCAAAGCTCAACCCCCGCAAAAACACAACTAGTAAACACACACCCACCCACACACACACACCTCTGGTGGGGAACACACCCACCACTGGAGGCCCAGCGCGGACCACCACCACCAACAGTGTGGCTGAACAACGTGTCCACAACCGGGCAACTATCGATGAGGCCAAAACAAGATACGTTAATTAACACTACCGAGAAACAAGTCACACACGGGGGGGGGGTGCCATTGGCCAATATGGAGTCGTTTATAGTGGCACCAGGTGGTGAGTCGTTAGTGGCACCAGGTGGGGGGGGGAGGGTCGTTGGGGGCACCAGGTGGGGGGGATAGGGTCGTTGGGGGCACCAGGTGGGGGGGGGAGGGTCGTTGGGGGCACCAGGTGGGGGGGGAGGGTCGTTGGGGGCACCAGGTGGGGGGGGGGAGGGTCGTTGGGGCACCAGGTGGTGGTGGTGAGGGGGGGGTGTAAACCAAGCTTGGGGCGTTAATTTTTTCATGTGGAGGGAAGTAAACCAGACCTGAGGAGCCTATCACTGAAGTAAACTTAACGTGAAATATATTATTTATTGTTTCTTTTTAGCAATCCGATTGCTGTAATACACACACACACACACACACACACACACACACACACACACACACACACACACACACACACACACACACACACACACACACACACACACCATTCAGAAACCTAAGTAAGGAGGCATTTAGGGCGCTTTACACTGCCTACGTAAGGCCAGTCTTAGAGTATGCCGCCTCATCATGGAGTCCCCATCTGAAGAAGCATATAATGAAACTGGAAAAGGTTCAGAGGTTTGCAACGAGACTCGTCCCAGAGCTACGAGGGATGGGGTATGAGGAGCGCCTGAGGGAACTGTGCCTTACGACACTAGAAAGAAGAAGGGAGAGGGGGACATGATAGGAACGTATAAGATACTCAGAGGGATTGACAGAGTAGACATAGACGAAATGTTCACACGGAATAGTAACAGAACGAGAGGACATGGATGGAAGCTTGAAACTCAGATGAGTCACAGAGATGTTAGGAAGTTTTCTTTTAGCGTGAGAGTAGTGGGGAAATGGAATGCACTTCAGGAACAGGTTGTGGAAGCAAATACTATTCATAATTTTAAAACCAGGTATGATAGGGAAATGGGACAGGAGTCATTGCTGTAAACAACCGATGCTCGAAAGGCGGGATCCAAGAGTCAATGCTCGATCCTGCAGACACAACTAGGTGAGTACAACTAGGTGAGTACACACACGTACTGATGTACAGGGGCCATCAGATAATGGCCCTTGTACATCAGTAGAGTAAGTAATGTACAGATAATACTGATAGTTGGGAACTATATTGAGCCTATATGGCCATAGGCAACAGGTACTCTGAGAGAGAACTCTTATCAACATCAGAGGCCCGAGACTGTTCAACACGCTTCCACTACACATAAGGGGTTAAGGGAGCCGGTCGACCGAGCGGACAGCACACTGGACTTGTGATCCTGTGGTCCTGGGTTCGATCCCAGGCGCCGGCGAGAAACAATGGGCAGAGTTTCTTTCACCCCTACGCCCCTGTTACCTAGCAGTAAAATAGGTACCTGGGTGTTAGTCAGCTGTCACGGGTTGCTTCCTGGGGGAGGAGGCCTGGTCGAGGACCGGGCCGCAGGGACACTAAAAGCCCCGAAATCATCTCAAGATAACCTCAAGATAAGGGTCATAACTGACCGACCTCACACAATAATCAAGCCTGTAAACTTGATAACCCCCTCCCCCCACCCCCCCTCAAAAAAAGACCTGATCAACCAGGCTGTGATTCATACGTCAGGCTGCGAGTAGCTGCGTCCAACAGCCTAGTTGACTAGACCACCAACTATGAGGCCTAGTCGGGGACAAGGCCACGGGCTACATACATATACACACATAAGATACATATACACACATAGATACATATATACACATAGATACATATGTACACATACACACTGGAGGATATGTGGGTGCACGGGTGTGTGTACCAGGCGTACACGGGTGTGTGTACCAGGCGTACACGGGTGTGTGTACCAGGCGTACACGGGTGTGTGTACCAGGCGTACACACGCCTGCGCAAAAGTGTTGTATATAAAATTTTTGTCTATATCATCACAACTTTTATGTTTCTATAAAAGAATATGTCGTTCTGGAGTCTGGAACTCCCCACCACGACACATAGAGTCAGGAACGACAACCACGACAGAGCCAGGAACGACAACCACGACAGAGCCAGGAACGACAACCACGACAGAGCCAGGAACGACAACCACGACAGAGCCAGGAACGACAACCACGACAGAGCCAGGAACGACAACCACGACAGAGCCAGGAACGACAACCACGACACATAGAGCCAGGAACGACAACCACGACACATAGAGTCAGGAACTACAACCACGACACATAGAGCCAGGAACGACAACCACGACACATAGAGCCAGGAACGACAACCACGACACATAGAGCCAGGAACGACAACCACGACACATAGAGCAAAGGAACGACAACCACGACACATAGAGCCAGGAACGACAACCACGACACATAGAGCCAGGAACGACAACCACGACACATAGAGCCAGGAACGACAACCACGATACATAGAGCCAGGAACGACAACCACGACAGAGCCAGGAACGACAACCACGACACATAGAGCAAAGGAACGACAACCACGACACATAGAGCCAGGAACGACAACCACGACACATAGAGCCAGGAACGACAACAACGACACATATAGCCAGGAACGACAACCACGACACATAGAACAAAGGAACGACAACCACGACACACAGAGCCAGGAACCACGACACATAGAGCCAGGAACGACAACGACAACCACGATACATAGAGCCAGGAACGACAACCACGACACATAGAGCCAGCAACGACAACCACGACACATATAGCCACGAACGACAACCACGACAGAGCCAGGAACGACAACCACGACACATAGAGCCAGGAACGACAACCACGACACATAGAGCCAGCAACGACAACCACGACAGATAGAGCCAGCAACGACAACCACGACACATAGAGCCAGGAACGGTAAACACGACACATAGAGCCAGGAACGACAACCACGACACACAGAGCCAGGAACGACACATAGAGCCAGGAACGACAAACACGACACATAGAGCCAGGAACGACAACCACGACAGAGCCAGGAACGACAACCACGACAGAGCCAGGAACGACAACCACGACACATAGAGCCAGGGACGACAAACACGACACATAGAGCCAGCAACGACACATAGAGCCAGGAACGACAACCACGACACATAGAGCCAGGAACGACAATTATAACTGGTGTCAACTGCATACCATTCACGAACACAACTTAAAATATTCCCATAATATAACTACAGTTCACGCTGAAATTTCGGTCGCTGCTGAATTTCAGGATTATTATCGGCGGAGAAATTTTTTTCAGGAAATTTCTGTAAACTGTAAATAGTAGTTTACGAGACAATTATTATAATAATTCCTCAAATTGTGTTGTTGATGTGTAGCCAGTTCCGGGAAGTTAGTGTGAGGTAACACGCTTTATTCTGGTCGTTTATCATCGCTGGTTACAGTGGTGGGTTACAGTGTCCCCTGTAACCTGTTGTGGGGAGGTACAGTGTCCCTGTAACCTGTTGTGGGGAGGTACAGTGTCTCCTGTAACCTGTTGTGGGGAGGTACAGTGTCCCTGTAACCTGTTGTGGGGAGGTACAGTGTCTCCTGTAACCTGTTGTGGGGAGGTACAGTGTCCCTGTAACCTGTTGTGGGGAGGTACAGTGTCCCTGTAACCTGTTGTGGGGAGGTACAGTGTCTCCTGTAACCTGTTGTGGGGAGGTACAGTGTCCCTTGTAACCTGTTGTGGGGAGGTACAGTGTCACTGTAACCTGTTGTGGGGAGGTACTGTTGTGGGGAGGTACAGTGTCCCCTGTAACCTGTTGTGGGGAGGTACTGTTGTGGGGAGGTACAGTGTCCCCTGTAACCTGTTGTGGGGAGGTACAGTGTCTCCTGTAACCTGTTGTGGGGAGGTACAGTGTCCCTTGTAACCTGTTGTGGGGAGGTACAGTGTCACTGTAACCTGTTGTGGGGAGGTACTGTTGTGGGGAGGTACAGTGTCCCCTGTAACCTGTTGTGGGGAGGTACAGTGTCACTGTAACCTGTTGTGGGGAGGTACAGTGTCACTGTAACCTGTTGTGGGGAGGTACTGTTGTGGGGAGGTACAGTGTCCCCTGTAACCTGTTGTGGGGAGGTACAGTGTCTCCTGTAACCTGTTGTGGGGAGGTACTGTTGTGGGGAGGTACAGTGTCCCCTGTAACCTGTTGTGGGGAGGTACAGTGTCTCCTGTAACCTGTTGTGGGGAGGTACAGTGTCTCCTGTAACCTGTTGTGGGGAGGTACAGTGTCTCCTGTAACCTGTTGTGGGGAGGTACAGCGTCCCTGTAACCTGTTGTGGGGAGGTACAGTGTCTCCTGTAACCTGTTGTGGGGAGGTACAGTGTCTCCTGTAACCTGTTGTGGGGAGGTACAGTGTCCCTTGTAACCTGTTGTGGGGAGGTACAGTGTCCCTTGTAACCTGTTGTGGGGAGGTACAGTGTCTCCTGTAACCTGTTGTGGGGAGGTACAGTGTCCCCTGTAACCTGTTGTGGTGAGGTACAGTGTCCCCTGTAACCTGTTGTGGGGAGGTACAGTGTCCCCTGTAACCTGTTGTGGGGAGGTACAGTGTGCCTGTAACCTGTTGTGGGGAGGTACAGCGTCCCTGTAACCTGTTGTGGGGAGGTACAGCGTCCCCTGTAACCTGTTGTGGGGAGGTACAGTGTCCCCTGTAACCTGTTGTGGGGAGGTACAGTGTCCCCTGTAACCTGTTGTGGGGAGGTACAGTGTCCCTGTAACCTGTTGTGGGGAGGTACAGTGTCCCTGTAACCTGTTGTGGGGAGGTACAGTGTCCCTGTAACCTGTTGTGGGGAGGTACAGTGTCCCTGTAACCTGTTGTGGGGAGGTACAGTGTCCCTGTAACCTGTTGTGTGAGGTACAGTCACTATAATCTGAAATCTTGGGGGGCCCGTCTCTGGTACCTGTAATGTTGAGATATCTGTAACCTGCAGGGCTGACGCACGCACATGCACGCACGCACATGCACGCAAGTACGTGCGTAAACTCCATAATCTTATTGGCGAGCAAAAGGAAGAATTTTAGCTGGTAAACTATGAGTTTACCTCCTTGAGGTTACCTTGAGATGATTTTGGGGCTTTAGTGTCCCCGCGGCCCGGTCCTCGACCAGGCCTCCACCCCCCAGGAAGCAGCCCGTGACAGCTGACTAACATCCAGGTACCTATTTTACTGCTAGGTAACAGGGGCATAGGGTGAAAGAAACTCTGCCCATTGTTTCTCGCCGCCGCCTGGAATCGAACCCAGGACCACAGGATCACGCGTTCAGCGTGCTGTCCGCTCGGCCGACCGGCTCCCCCTTACCTCACTACAAATAATGGCTTAAGAGAAGTGGATGTTTTCAAGAGGCGATTGGACAAATTCCTGTAATAAGTTCCCAATCAGCTTGGGTTGTAATGGTTAGGTGAGCGTGCGGGCTGCGGTAAGCGACAGTCTGATGGATCAAGCTGTACCCGATCAAATCTAGCCCTCCCCCCCCTCCGAGGCCGTGTTTGAGGAATATATATAGATGAACTCTCGAGACCCTCTATAGGTAAGTTACAGGTCAAACCCCCATTGAGAATTTAAGTTTAAGAGTGAATTAGTCAGTAAGCTAATTTCCAACTCATAATTATTGAACTCATTATCTTGATAGAATTATTACCTCAAGTGAAGCCGGTCGGCCGAGCGGACAGCACGCTGGACTTGTGATCCTGTGGTCCTGGGTTCGATCCCAGGCGCCGGCGAGAAACAATGAGCAGAGTTTCTTTCACCCTATGCCCCTGTTACCTAGCAGTAAAAAATATCTGCTTGATGGGGTTCTGGGAGTTCTTCTACTCCCCAAGCCCGGCTCGAGGCCAGGCTCAACTTGTGAGAGCTTGGTCCACCAGGCTGTTGCTTGCATGCCTGATATGAGGATAGAAAGAGTAGTGGAGCAAGCACAGTACCCTGGGGGTACTGAACCTTTCCACGGTCATTCTGATTTGACTGACTATTACACTCTGCGTTCTGCGCCTTAAGACATTAAAGATCCATCTTTCCTACTTTGCCAGAAATTCATTTTGTGCGCAGTTTTGTGCGCAGTTTTGTGCGCAATAAGACCTTTTGTTGAAAGCTTTTCGCGAAATCTGTGTAAATACGTGAGCGTATTTGTCTTCCACGAGGCCATGTCATAGTACTCACTTAGTTGTGCTTGCTGGGGGGGTTGTGCTCTAGCTCTTGGGTCGTTGTGGTCTAGCCGTTGTGATAGACAAACTGATTAACAAAATACATATATACTGCATGACCCCCTGCCAACCTGGCCTCCCATTTAATAGGTCGTTTTGTGCACGAATCGATCCCTCAGTCAAAGCTGCAGGGTTTTAAGTATAAAAGGAATATATATATATATATATATATATATATATATATATATATATATATATATATATATATATATATACATATACATATATATATATATATATATATATATATATATATATATATATATATAAGCACCGAAAAATCGACGTTTTTCTGGGCTTTGGGAACGTTTCAGGTTAGGCAAAGTAATTGCATTTGTTACGGTGTCCAATCGTGAGAATGGGGTAGTTCCCCAGTCAGCCATGGGGATTGGGGGGATTGGGGGGGGGGGAGAGGCGTGGCTCTTCCACCGCTGAGCTAATAGAGGTGTTTCAGCTCATCAGTGTGTAAAGTGACTTGGCACTGACCCCTGACTAGACGACTGTCACAGTGTCCTGACACCCTGTGCTGACACCCCTGTGGTGACACCGTTTCCTGACACCCCTGTGGTGACACCGTCTCCTGACACCCCTGTGGTGACACCGTCTCCTGACACCCCTGTGGTGACACCGTCTCCTGACACCCCTGTGGTGACACCGTCTCCTGACACCCCTGTGGTGACACCGTCTCCTGACACCCCTGTGGTGACACCGTCTCCTGACACCCCTGTGGTGACACCGTCTCCTGACACCCCTGTGGTGACACCATCTCCTGACACCCCTGTGGTGACACCGTCTCCTGACACCCCTGTGGTGACACCGTCTCCTGACACCCCTGTGGTGACACCGCCTCCTGACACCCCTGTGGTGACACCGCCTCCTGACACCCCTGTGGTGACACCGCCTCCTGACACCCCTGTGGTGACACCGTCTCCTGACACCCCTGTGGTGACACCGTCTCCTGACACCCCTGTGGTGACACCGTCTCCTGACACCCCTGTGGTGACACCGTCTCCTGACACCCCTGTGGTGACACCGTCTCCTGACACCCCTGTGGTGACACCGTCTCCTGACACCCCTGTGGTGACACCGTCTCCTGACACCCCTGTGGTGACACCGTCTCCTGACACCCCTGTGGTGACACCGCCTCCTGACACCCCTGTGGTGACACCGTCTCCTGACACCCCTGTGGTGACACCGTCTCCTGACACCCCTGTGGTGACACCGTCTCCTGACACCCCTGTGGTGACACCGTCTCCTGACACCCCTGTGGTGACACCGTCTACTGACACCCCTGTGGTGACACCGTCTCCTGACACCCCTGTGGTGACACCGTCTCCTGACACCCCTGTGGTGACACCGTCTCCTGACACCCCTGTGGTGACACCGTCTCCTGACACCCCTGTGGTGACACCGTCTCCTGACACCCCTGTGGTGACACCATCTCCTGACACCCCTGTGGTGACACCGTCTCCTGACACCCCTGTGGTGACACCGTCTCCTGACACCCCTGTGGTGACACCGTCTCCTGACACCCCTGTGGTGACACCGTCTCCTGACACCCCTGTGGTGACACCGTCTCCTGACACCCCTGTGGTGACACCGTCTCCTGACACCCCTGTGGTGACACCGTCTCCTGACACCCCTGTGGTGACACCGTCTCCTGACACCCCTGTGGTGACACCATCTCCTGACACCCCTGTGGTGACACCGTCTCCTGACACCCCTGTGGTGACACCGTCTCCTGACACCCCTGTGGTGACACAGTCTCCTGACACCCCTGTGGTGACACCGTCTCCTGACACCCCTGTGGTGACACCGCCTCCTGACACCCCTGTGGTGACACCGTCTCCTGACACCCCTGTGGTGACACCATCTCCTGACACCCCTGTGGTGACACCATCTCCTGACACCCCTGTGGTGACACCGTCTCCTGACACCCCTGTGGTGACACCGTCTCCTGACACCCCTGTGGTGACACCGTGGACCCCATGCCAACGTCTCAATAACCCGGTGTTTGTCCTACACCCATCACTTACCTACGTAGAGGTCACCTCTCCAACCAATTGATCAAGTGTGGGTGTGAGTGTCTTAAAAGACAAACTCTCGACTCCAAGGCGTCGCTGCCACCCCCCCCCCCCCCCCCCCACCCCCCCCCCCCCCCCCCCCCCCCCCCCCCCCCCCCCACCCACCCCCCCCTTCTTGGAGCACCTTGGACATCCTGGCTTTATAGTCTATATATCTTTCTATATCTAGATTTCTCCTCGAAGGTGATAGATTGCTGAATTCAAGAATTAACCTTCCACAGAAACGGCTTATATGCTATAAGCATATAAGCCGTTGTATGCTATGCTTATAGCATATGTATGCTATGCTTATAGCATATATGATTGTATGCTATGCTTATAGCATCCAATCATTCTGTTTTACTACACAGGATTGGGGGGGGGGGGGGAAGTGGACTTTATACAGCCTCATACACTACCCTCCATCTTCATTCATACAGTAACCCCCTCCCCCCTGCTTCATACAATACCCCCCCCCCCTACTCCTGGAAAACAAACATGGCGTTCCTACTAATCTTTAATCGTGATCAGGATTTCAAAATCAGAGCTGGATTACAGGCGTGATCTCAAGTGTTTGGAATGGTGTTTGTGATCCCTTCCACTTACCAATCCACCCACTGATTGGTAAGGTTCACCCACTGATTGGTAAGGTCCACCCACTGATTGGTAAGGTCCACCCACTGATTGGTAAGGTCCACCCACTGATTGGTAAGGTCCACCCACTGATTGGTAAGCTCCACCCACTGATTGGTAAGCTCCACCCACTGATTGGTAAGCTCCACCCACTGATCAATAAGGTCCACCCACTGATCAATAAGGCCCACCCACTGATCAATAAGGCCCACCCACTGATCAATAAGGTCCACCCACTGATCAATAAGGCCCACCCACTGATCAATAAGGTCCACCCACTGATCAATAAGGTCCACCCACTGATCAATAAGGTCCACCCACTGATCAATAAGGCCCACCCACTGATCAATAAGGTCCACCCACTGATCAATAAGGTCCACCCACTGATCAATAAGGCCCACCCACTGATCAATAAGGTCCACCCACTGATCAATAAGGTCCACCCACTGATCAATAAGGCCCACCCACTGATCAATAAGGTCCACCCACTGATCAATAAGGTCCACCCACTGATCAATAAGGCCCACCCACTGATCAATAAGGCCCACCCACTGATCA